GTCTGAAAGACTTTTCACAAATTTAGGTTCCTTGGTTTTGTAACAATGTTATTTTCTTGTCCTAAGATTCACATTTTATGAAATATCTCCACGCCTCACCAAATAATATCACTACCACAGATCGGAGGCCTGAAAGTTCAGAAGCAGACATTTGCGGAAGCCGTGACCCAGCCTGGTATAACGTTTGTTGCGGCCAAGTTTGACGGTATCCTGGGGATGGGGTATGACACCATCTCAGTGGACGGTGTCGTGCCACCCTTCTACAACATGGTCCAACAGAAACTGGTTGACAAACCAGTCTTCTCTTTCTACCTGAACAGGTGGGAATGTTTTGCATTTCAGCATGATCTGATACTGTGTCACTGTGTTGTTCAGTAGAATGATAATGCTTTGATTGTTCAAATTTTCATCAAGATTGTCAGTGTCGCAAAATTTGTGTGCATGTAAAAAAAAATGAACAGAAACCAAACAATGATGAAGTATTGTTATAGCTATAAAATGAATATTTTGGTTACTATTTGTAGCTGGTTCCTGTACAAATATATGTTGTTCATAAGACAGGGCTACAAGATTTAGGCTACTGAAAGTACTCTGACATGAGGGCGGTGATCAAGAACCCCTCCTCTCACGGTGACAAACAACCTGCCCATATCTATTAATGTTGCAGAAAAAATGTCTGAATATGCATGGAAATCACACAATATCAATGTATGATTTTCTTTAGCAAATTTTTAAACGCTAACAAAACCAACTATTCAGTGGAGTGATGAATTTCCCCCATGCCCTGCAGGGACGCCTCAGGTGCTACAGGTGGTGAGCTGTTGTTGGGTGGGACTGACCCAAAGTACTACAGCGGAGACTTCACCTTCGTGGACGTCACCAAGCCTGGCTACTGGCAGTTCAAGATGGACGGGTAGGCAGTGGGGGGGGGGGGATCTCCTGGACCTAAAGATTGCAAATTGATACATTATGCATAATTGATTCTCAGAAATTTTATCAAGGACCATCAAGAATAATGACTTAAATCTTTTTATAATTACTGTTTCTCTCAAATCAACCATTTCTTATACATGTACCTTCATTTGTTTCCTTTTGAGCTTATCTTCGTTTACTGCTATCACAAACATTGAGTGGAAGGAAACATGTATCGTCAATGTTTCTAAGGATATATGTCCTTATGATATGAATTTTTTGGCAGTTTTTAGGCACTTTATACCATCTCCCTGTTTTTTGTTTCACTGATCAATCAATCTGTTTGTGTTGCTCAGGATCATGATCAGTGGGAAGGCGTCTGACTTCTGTAAGGGAGGCTGTGCTGCCATCGCCGACACAGGGACCTCTCTCATCGCTGGGCCCACGTCCGAGGTGGCGGCTCTCAACAAACAAATCGGAGCCACCCCCATCCCTGGTGGAGAGGTATGGCATGTAACGTTAACTGTTGTATCAAATTTTAGTCTGACAGTGTTATTGGGTCTAATAGAATGCAGTGTAAGTGTTTAAAATCAGCCTAAATGGACAAATATGTAAAATATTATGAGCAATAGTCATTAAGCATCATTAATCAATAGCCATGCCATTACTTTAAATCAAATTTGATTGAACAAGCCTGTTTATGTGCACATGTGACAAAGTACAATCAGATACTTAGGGTACATGCAAAACCATTGACTGTACAGTTGAGTAACATCACATTGGTAGGGCAAGTACCTAAGTAGAGACCACAAAAGGTCAAACACAGGAAGTTAGGTCCCAGAAGCTAGATCTTGGTCATCAGAAAGTTGGCCTCAGGTAGTCTGTTGGCTGGATGGCAGTGGGAAAATGCATAGAGATGTTGACATACAAACTCACAATTATGAATAATTGTTGATGATAAAAATGTGTTTTCCTCACAGTACATGGTGGACTGCAGTCAGGTCTCGTCTCTCCCTCCCATTTCCTTCATGCTGGCTGGGAAGGCCTTTGAACTGCAAGGCAAGGACTACGTTCTACAGGTATGTCAGCATTACCTCCATGGAGTCAGGCTGTCAGAAATATCCATGGAGTTTTAAAAGAGTTTAGTTTAGGGTGGAAGTCTCTGCTTTCAATATGTTCTCAGGGCTGATTAAAAGGCTTGTTTTTCTGGTCCAGTTGGCTGTCACCACTGCTCATTGCAGTATGAGGGGTTGATATATTTAATTGCTTTGTGATTTTGATGACTTTGCTTTCTTGACATGTTCAAATTCTATAAGAACTCTGATTGACAACTAGCCAGAGTTGTCTCTGCTGACAACCTTATGTTGTCCTGCCGTCCATTATCTGATTTGATATCTTTGTGAAGAGTTCAAGCATTTCTAGACCTTTCTGATTTACATAACAGTCAGGCATTGATTTTTAATGTAGCAACAAAGATTAAAAAAATATAAAAGGACTGGATATTGGCAGACCATAATTGATTGTGAAGTCCTATTTGTGATGAAAAACTTCAGACCAACCTTTATCACAGAGCAAACACAAAGATATCAGATCACAGCAGGACAAATCTTCAATGATGTGAACCAATCAGAATCAATAGCCAATCACCATCACAATCATGCTACCCCAGGTGACCACCATGGGACAGACCGTCTGTGTCAGCGGGTTTCTGGGCATCGACGTGCCGGCCGGGCCCCTGTGGATTCTGGGAGACGTGTTCATTGGGCCTTACTACACGTTG